GCTGCCGGGTGCCCTGACAGTCCTGCCTTGCCTCCAGGACAGGCATTTCTCCTCCGGGGTCCTGAATCCAGGATCTGTCCCCCTACCACACTCTCCCTTTTCAATCTGGAGCACCCTCTGTGCCAAGGGCTGGGCAGGGTCTCATAGCTGCGGGGGACAGACTCTGCCACCTGCCTGGTTCTGTCACCTCCCCTGGGTCATGCATTGCCATGAACTTTGCAGGTATCACCATGAGGTGCTGGAATCTCCCCAGCCTGGTGATAAGTATCACTCAGCCCCAAACACCAGAGCCCCAGATGGAAGAGCAGGGGCAGGTCATGGACCCCAGGCACCGGATGAGGAGCATCACCCCATGCATGGACACTGCCAACTCGGACAGGCTGAAGCCCCAGTGTCCCTGTGCCCCAGCCCTGCCACCCCCATGAGCTGGAGCCTTGCTGTGCCCTCCCGCTCCGGTCACAGCCATCCCCGCAGCCCTGACCACCTGGGGACGTGTGGGCTGGAGTGCGGTGGGTGTCTCTGCTGGCCAACATCTGCCCAGATGTTCTCAGTCGTGCAGGGTGGCTCAGGATGTGGGAGACTCCATCGCTGCTGCCCGGGTCCAGCCGATGTCCAAGCCCTCTGCTCACAGTGAAGCCCAGAGCTCCTTGGCCTCACAGGGATGGTTCCTTCTGTTAATGAGGCAGAGAGGGGTGGTTAATGAGTGCTCCTGGGGCTTATATTTCAGAGGTCTTTGTTATCCAGGTGCTTGTAACCCGATCTCCCAGGCTTGGCTTCCCAGCAGCAGATCCAATAGCGCCTGTCCCTGAAAGGTGAGCCCCTTCCCCTTCCCACTACCACGGCCACCACAGGGACCTGGCTGGGGAACTGCTGGCAGCTCAGCTCCCTGATGCTCCCCACAGGACTGCCTCAACCCCTCGGGACAGCACAGCTCTTCTGCCACCAGCCTTGAGGGAAGTGTCTCAGGACAGGTAGGGATGGGGAAATTGGGAGAAGGGGAGAAATCATAGAATCAAAGAAAGGAGGAGGAGAGGGATACTGGTATGCACTAAAATGCTTGAGGTTGCCCAAGGAGAGGGAATGGGATATTGGTGGCTTCCAGAAGAGGTTTGCAAATATGCTGGTGGGTATCAGACCCCACTTGAGATGAGGCTGGGCCGCTCCACTCCTCCCACCAGCCTGCATGCCCATCCCCTGCTGCTGACAGCTGTGCCATGGTGGCCTGGCAGAGCTCAGTGCTGTCAAAGAGCAGGGCTGTGGCACTGCCTGGTCCTCCAAGTGCTGCTCCTGAGCCCACCCAGCCACCCCACTCCTGTTCACCCCATATTCCTCCTGGAGCCAGGACCCAGGAGCAGGATGCTGTAGTCCATCCAGCCTGTATTCTCGTGTACTGCAGAGCTCCCAGTAGGGATGCAGTATGGCCCTGAGGAAAACCTATTCCCCATAGGACAACCTACTGCAGTGGCAAGGTCTCTTCCTGGCAGGCAGGGCAGGCAGGAAGCAGTCAGGGATGTTGGGCAGGGACCCTGATGCTCCTGTGAACCCACCACATGGAACTCATCCCCATCTCTCCCAGGCTGGGTGCACTCGAGGGTGACATCCCACCACTGAGCCCATAGTCAGAGGTGACACCCCACTCCTGGGCCCCCTCCCCAGCCAAGGGCCCGATGACTCCTCTCACCCTCCCCTCCCCAGGATGTCCCAGGCCGGTGGCAGCCCCAGTGCCGAGGACACAGCGCCCTTTGTTGAGACACACTCGCGCACCCCGAGCCGAGGCAGCCAGAGAGTCGAGTGCATCATCTGCTACTCCTCCTATGACCTGTGTGGCCGCCTACCCCGGCGGCTCTACTGTGGCCATACCTTCTGCCAAGCCTGCCTGAAGCGCCTGGACTCCATCACCAACGAGCAGCGCTGGATCCCCTGCCCGCAGTGCCGCCAAAACACGCCCACGCCGCGCGGAGGAGTCACCATGCTCGACCTCGACCTGGCCACCTTCCTTATTGTCAAGGCTGACAAGGAGCATCCCCGGGTGGCCAGCAGGTCCCAGCCTGACTCGCCCACCAAGGGCTCGTGCAAGGAGAAGGCAGTGACCCAGCAGCCGGTGGGGCTGTGCCAAGACCCAGTGCCTC